AATCGGCTGATTTACTGAAGGAAAAAGGTTATCAAGTAGAGTTTGAGGGCGAATATAGTGGTAGTCATTTTTTTCAATCGGAGGAACTGCAAGAAATATTGACCAAAAAATTAAATACTCTTCGGTAAAATTTATAAAATTAGATTAAGAAAGAGAAAGTGATTGAAAGATGATGAAAAGAGATAAATTCTCTCTCTCTGGATATTAATTTAACTTCAACAATATTAACAACAATATAATTTATGTCATTAAATCTTATTATTAGAGGTGACGATTTGAAATGAGCCAGGCAGGACACCGAGGGAAATAAAATCGTTTACAAAGTTAGAAAATTTTATTATAAAAAGGATGGAATTGGAACTTTTATTAAATATATAAAAGTAGGGGAACAAAAGGGGAAAGATATTAAAAGCAAAAGGTTAAGTTCTTATGACATTTATATTCTTTCTATTCCAGAAGAGAAAATAGAAGTTCAAAAGTGAACAACAAATTCCGGAAAAGTTTATGATGCCCTTTCATTCGGAAATGATGTGGCTGTTGATAAATTAAAAGAAAAGGATAGCAAAATTTCCTTTATTTATGATTCGTACGAATTATCCCGCATTTTTGACGATGAACTTATTTTCAAAGGAGGAGTAACAAGAATAATGATAAAAGCAATGGAAGAAAAGTATGTTTTTCCACTTTTTGAGAAAATTATACTTAAATTTCCAAATCACGAAGAAGCAAAGAACAAATTAAAGGAGTTTAATAAGGAAAAATTTTGTATTGTTGAAGGAGTTGATTGGGAAAAAGCCCAAATAGATTCTGAGGACTTGAAAATAAAAGGATTTAGTAATGTAGGGAAAACATTCACCGCAGCAGGAGGAAGAGCAACCCCAACCGAAAACCCCGAAACAACCACCGGAACCCACCCCACGGGAACCGAAGAAACTGGAAATACCTCCGAACCCGAAACCACCGGGACACCACCCGAACCAGCGACCACCGGGGCATCAGCACAAACGCCAGAACCAAACACCACACCTCCTCCTAAACCCATTAGCGTTTATGACTATTTTGAAACAAAGTTAGCCGACGAAGACCAAAATTTATGAACCTTAGTTAACCAGTATGTTCCTGGCAACAACAAAACTGAAAAAAAGTTGCTTTTCTTGTCATTAATCAGAAGTGGACTTATAAATGAAGACCATGTGGACAGCCAACGGAAGTTCATTAAATATGGATTTCTCAAAAATAAACTTAAAGAAATTTATCCGCAAAGTCAAGGCTCTCAAAATGATAATCCTCCCCCGGGTGGAGGCGAGCCCGCTCAGACTAGAAAAAATGCTATTCAAACCATCACGGCTGCTCTAAATTTAGAACCCGTTGTAAAGGAAAGCGAGTTAAATGCTGAATTTCAGGGCTGAAAGAAAAAAATAAATAGTTTGGATAAGAATGAAATTATTAATGATTTTGTAAAAAAAATGTTGTCGGCGATTGGGGGTAAACGAAGAGAAAAGCAGGCCAGTCAAAAAGTAAATGATAATGTAAATGATATGAAAAATAAAACTGGTGAGGAATTAAACGAGAAAATAAAGGAAAATGATGAAGCTTCTGACACCAAAGCCTACCAGGAAAAGAAAGAGGAAATTGAAACTCAAAAAAAACGGTCGGCTTCGGAAGACCCTGACCAATATCGTCGGAATGTGGCTATTCCAGGAATTAAGGACTCCATGGCAAAAAACGATATTAAGGAGGACGAGTTAGATGCTGACACAAAAAAGGATTGAGAAAAAATAAAAAATGGGGAAATACAGGGTGAAGAAATAGTGGAAAAAGAAACCAAAATTAAACAATCCATTGGCCAGCAAGGAGTCGAGAAAAAAGTTAATTTTTTTAGAAGGGAGGTAGAAAAAGCCCTAAAATCAGGTAAAAAAGAAAGCATAGAAAAATTAAAAACCCAAATGATAGAGTTTATTAATGCTGATAATATTTTCTATGAAAACAAAAAAGCCGAGGTGCGGTCATTACTTTCAAGATTAGATAATTATAGTAATAACCAGCCGCAACACAATAATGCACCAAAATTTCCTGGAAAAGTGGTTGTTTTTGTTTCGTTGATAGCAGCAATATTGATAATAACCGCATTGGTAGTAATTAGAAAGAGAAAAAGAATTAGTCGAATTAGAAAAACCAAGACTAAATTAACCAACTAATATGGAAAAAGATAATAGTAAACTTAATTGAACCCTTGGTGGTTTGGAATTGTGGCGCTGGTAGTTGGTTGATTGCGTTTTGCCTTTTTATTAAGAAAAAGGAAAAATTAATTGCTATTTCTCGCCAAATAATTCTTGTCTATTTCATCCAAAAAGGGCGAATAAAGTTCTTGACTACTGATTAAAAAGAGTAATCTTTTGGCTCGGGTTATTCCCACATAAAATAATCTTTTTTCCTCTGTGAGGTCTTGGGTTTCTTTGTAAGGGAGGGTTCCTTGGTCTAAATAAACAAAAAATACTACTTCAAACTCTAATCCTTTGGCTTGGTGTACAGAAGAAAGTATTAAATTATTACGCGTTTTAATTAACTTTTTGTCTTCAAAAGCAATAATAATCCATTGCAAAAAAGCATT